TCATTTCCTCCCCGGCTATGCGGACCCCACACATTTTTTTTTCAAAAACAAAATAAAAAATTTACGCCCTAAAATATAAAGAAACAGGGAAAAGAAAACAGAAACTTCAAAAAACAAAATAGACTTGGAGAACATATTGTTTACACCACCATCTTTGGCGATTTTCAGGGTGAACACCTACTTAACATGGTGATAAGAGCAGCCCCGATAAGTAGGCCCCAGTGTCTAAGGCTCCATCTATTGGTGGGGAGCTGCACTTGCTGGAAATCGGGTCCAGTGTCCCTATACAATCATGTGATGTGTATCAGCTGGAAATCGGATTCAGCATCCCTTTACAGTGATGTGTGGATATGACATACTCTGCATCCAATACTATCTGTATATGTTCGTCAACCAATATATGTCACATGAAGGGAAAACCCTATCCACGATGTCCACCGGATCACCGTAAAAGAGGCATTGATTATTTCCCCACTCAAGGGAAGGATTGACCTCCTGCCCATACAGCCCAATCCTACCGATCAAACCAAACATATGTGTGCAGTGCAAACACTACCTATGTCATCTGTGTGCATTATTCCCTAATATGATGTCAACCGGGTAACTCCCGATGCAGCAGGAGGCATTGACTACTTCCCAACACACAGGGAAGGATTGACCTCCTGCCATCCCAATCAGCAAGCAGCAACTCCAGAAACCCTAATCAACCCCAAGCTAAGTACTCTTGCTCAATCAATAGCACACAATTGCAAAAACGAATCACTCATGTGATCGAGCACGCGATTAGGGTTAGGGAACCTGGTAACCCTTGTTAGAAAAACCAGTCCCCCCCTTACCCCACCCCCACCCGCAGCAAAACTCATGTCATGGCGACGCAAATCCACCAACACCACAAGTGTCATCGAAGCAGCCGCCCGTGCTCTCGATGTCGTTTTTGCTGACGCCGATCTTGCAAGTGTTGTAGTTATTATCAATTCTCCTGTTGTTGTTGGTGTAGCCATCGTTGTTGATGACATTTTTGTCGGTGTTGTTGTCTTTGATCCAGTCTTCAGTGTTGTTGTTGTTGTTGTTGTTGTTTGTGGTGTTTCCACTGTTATCACTGGTGGGCAACCAATCACCCACCCATCATAAGCCGCCGCCATCTGAGGAGAGGCTGGAAGAAGCTGCAGTTCTTCAGACCCTCCCTGCATGTAACCCTCCTCAAGCGGTGGTTGGCCTTGTACACGCAACCTCGCCTCCAAAGCTGCGCACAGATCACGCCCTTCGTCAAAAATATTGTAGCAGCTCCGCATCAGGGTATCTCCTTGTCGCCAATCGATGAACGCATCCAGCTGAGGAGCCGGTCCCTCCTCCAACTCCCAGATGACGTCCAACATGCTTCGCATCATCTCCTCCTGGCAAGGGACCCGCAGTTGCCCCACCATCAGCCGCAAGCCAATCCCCTTGCCTTAAGGTCAAAGCATCAACGATATTTTGCAAACAGCGACTCCCTTCCTGAAGAGTCAACAGCCACTCAGTTGCGCCTTGCAGCAAATCACCAATTGAAGCGGCCATCTCAAGCACTCAAAGAACACACCGTCAGATCACCGAAAAGTATACGCCTCACACCCACGTGCCATCTCCTAGTATGCCAGGTGGCACATCCACCATCACCTCGACGAGATGACCAGGCAGGCACCAGGATCACCAGAGGCAGCTACGGTAGCCCCACCACTGCCCCAGTCTGCAGAGTGCGGCTGAGCTTCGCCGGCCGCTCCACAGCGGAGGTTAGCGCTCGGCACTAGTGCCTCCAGAGTCTCACAAACTTCACTTTAGAGCCTCAGAAACTCTCCACTTTACTCGTCAAAATGCTGCAAAAATTTATTTGGAAGACTCATTTTGTTAAGATCTTTGCATTACTTATTTCCTAAGAGGCAACTTTCATCAAGTACGTTGATCCTATCTCGTTTGATTCCCCCAAGGTAGACGTTACCTGGAGAACCATTTTCCTTCATCCCCTCACCTGTTTGTATTCCTCTCTCTCTCTCTCTCTCTCTCTCTCTCTCTCTCTCTCTCTCTCTCTCACACACACACACACACACACACACACACACACACACACACACAGANCACACACACAGAGTAGAGTCCTCCAGCCTCACCATCAATACCCCCTATTATGACCTCAGCATCATTATCCATGTAACACTTCCAACTGTGATGATCCTTGGGGTATCCCTTCCTGCATTTGGCCATGTGAATAATCACCATAACAATTGGATTCAATGTAGAGGGTGGATTGCAGGGTAGATTGCAGGTAGAAGAGAGAGAAAGGGAGGACGTGATGTAGAGGCTGACACAAACACAAACATGTATTGTAGTGATCCCCCACTATGCCACGATGACAGTTACTCCTCCATCTTTCATCCTCCTTCATCCCTCCTCTCCCCTGCTTCTTCATAGTCCACATCATGTCTTCTCGTTTTTCATTTTGTAAACAACGTGAAGTATGGTTAATGATGCCACATGGGCACACATGGACACATTTCTATTGAAGGCCTTGTGAATCTTTGATAACAAAATACCCCCCGGGGCAGATGTTTGTACTGACGTGTATCCACCGAGGAAGAGACCTACACTTCCATTGTCCCCTTCTACTTCCGTCTGTCCCACTCGTTTTGTCATCTGCATTGCAAGGAAAGTAAAGGCATCCTTGATTTCACCATGGCTGTCGGATCACCATCATTGCCCCCCCCCCTCTCTCGCTCTCCCTCTTCCCCCACAATTGAAAACAAGGAGCGTCAAGTATTAATGGCAAATCGCTCCTTGATTTCACCCTGGTTGTTGGATCACTACCATGGGCCCCAATTTCTCTCTGCCTCTGACCCCCTCATACACACACACACACAGTGGCATACTGATACCACACGGGCCCCAGTTAGGGCCCGGTTCCGTAGTTAGGCTAGTTTAGGCCTAAGGACCAGGGGTCACAATGGTTCAGACCATAGCTCGGCCCAGAGGCCGACGAGGCCAACGGCCACAGGGGCCAGGCTGGTACCGATGCAACACTATGACCTACCGGCGGCGCAGTTGGCAGCCACATTTTCGGCGCCAAATTCAGATTCAAATCTGAACCGTTGATCGGATCAACGGTCCAGACCCGAGGGCGCCAGTAGGACTGAGGCCGGGCCAGCACTATATTAGCTGGGTACCAGCTTCAGTAAGGTAGATTAGTAGTGCAGAGGTTAGTCTTCAGGATTAGCGCAGCGCTTCAGCGTTAGCAGGACTAGTGCAGCATTTCAGCGTTCGCAGGAGCAGCGAGGAGAGAACAAGCGCAGCGGCAAGGAGGAACTAGCGCAGCAGCTGGAGCAGCGCCAGCCACCGGCCCAGCCCGCGGCCCAGCGCCAGCCTTGCACCACCATAGCTACCGCATCACGTATACGGGAGGACGGTCACACCTTTCCTCCCTCCTTTTCCTCCTCTCTCTCTCTCTCTCTCTCTCTCTCTCTCCTCCTACCTTCTCGGAATCTGCGCCATACTTATGCTGTGTTTCACGAGCATGCAACACACACACACACACACACACACACACACACACACAAACACACACACATGTGCCCTCCCACATCACCATCAACATACTTATCACAACCTGAAAATCTTCCTCCTTGCCACTCGTAACCATGGTGGTCCTTGTTATCCCCTCCTCCGCTTCGGCGCTGTGAATAATTGCCATGACGATTGAATTGTAGCGGGTGGATTACAGGTAGTAGAAGGGGACGGAGATAGGAGGTATGCAATGACCAAGGATGTAAAAGAGAGAAAAAGAGCAGCTATGACATAGAGGCTAAAAAGCCCGTGACCACACCGCGAGAAGACGATTTATAGGCGACACGAATTCGAACACAAACACCTCTTGTAGAGATCCACTACCATGCCACAAAGGCACTTACTCTCTCCCTCCTCCCTCCCCCCTCTCTGTTATTGCCCCTCCCACCAGTCCAAAGAGACCAAGGTTTGGACGTGCTGCTAAGAGACAACGGTTTGCACATGCTGCCATGTAGTCGTCTACAAAAACCACCAGGCGGGCACACTGTTATATATTTGCTTGTGGAACGACCAGGCAGGCACGCTGCTACGTACTTATTAACACCTGCCAAACGCAACGAAAAGGGGGAAAACGAGACCAAACTCAACAACACGCCGAAATGAAACAAATCATCCTTCCATACACTCTTAAAAGCGGAAAGATACAAAGAAAGATTAGCATGGTCCCTGTGGAAGGATGACATACATAAATGAAGAAACAAAATCTCGTTTTGACCCACAAAATGGTGTTTTTTTTTTTTTTTTTTTTTTTTTTCCAGGAAGGATTTAGTACGATTTACCCTATTGCAAGGCCTCATCCCCAGAGGAAATTCAAATGCCCCCAATTTGGCACACAGCAACCTTGAACCGAAAAAAAAAAACACGCAAAAAACTCGAAACCTCAAAGAACATGTTTTCGAAAAGACAGGCAAAAAAGTTCAAACTCAAAGAACATGTTTTCGGATTTTTATTATTATTACTATTTATTTTTTTTTGAGAAAACATTCCGAGTAAATGCTAGGGGTGCTGATAAAAATTTCAACCCGTTACCCAGGAGCTGAAAGTGGGGGTCTACATTAACCACTTGTGACTCTTTTGTGAGTCCTGCTACATCAAAAATAAAAAAAACGACCATAAACGATTTAGTACACCAAAAAACACTCGTGCAATTGAAGTGCTTTTCATCCAGGTAGGCATGATGACATTTCATGTTGGGCAAGCCCAGGGTATATATATATTTTTCCCTCTGGTTTGTATAAATAGGCTCAATGACTGGTGGTTTAAGAAGCATGAAATCCACAGCAAATCCACACCAACGCTGCGAGAAAAAAAAGATGACAACCAGCAGCCACACCATCAAGACGAACAGACACCCAATCACCCCACCAAGACATGAAACACCGAACAACAAAAACAGCCAGTCACCCGCGACACACGCTTTTGCAAAACGCATTCATCCATCTTTAACCAATGGCATGTGTCACAACCAAAATTTTGAAGTTTCACATCATCAATACAAAGAGATTGATATGGATACATAAAAGCAGAAACCTGCTTCATGCACACTTTTGAGGGCATTTGTCTATGCCCCTAAAGTCCCTCCACAAAAGTTCTACCGGGCAGCTAACATGCCCTGCATGTTGGAGCCATCAATCACGGACCGATACTATACTCTAGTGCTGGTGGTAAACTTTCCAAATGTAACGAACAGCCCGACTACACTACAGCTGCCCCTGCAAGAAGACTACCACTTGCTCTCTCTCTCTCTCTCTCTCTCTCTCTCTCTCTCTCTCTCTCTCTCTCTCTCTCTCTCTCTCTCTNCTCTCTCTCTCTCTCTCTCTCTCTCTCTCTCTCTCTCTCTCTCTCTCTGTGTGAAGTCTCTCCCACAGTACATTCGTAGCTCTTTTTTTTTTCCTGTTCAACTTTCGAAACCAAGCCCCAAGCAATGGGCACATCGTCTGAAGTCATATTTCCCCTTCCCCCCTTTCCCCCTCCCCATTCTCATATTATTGCTGTGGGGGCCATCAGGCCTGGAAGTACAGGTTAACAGGTACGACTACCAGTTTTCTGTACAATTGAGTCGTTTGAACATTTGACCACATAAGTGGTCTCCGATCTGCACCCAAGGAGATACCTCCTAGACAACAAACCCGAGGACATGTTGAGAACAAGCCCCAAGACTCAAACCCACAGCAACATACGACTATCCCACCACTGCACTCCAAGAGACAGTGTCCCCGAACGGGACTGTCTGCAACAATGGTCCAACAGCACTGTCTCTGGAACAAATAGCTGCCAAATGGAACAGGACCCGAACTGAAAGAGTTACTTTTAAAGATGGAATTGGGAGAAATTACAAGGCTCTGTTCTGAGCTTCTGAGACACATCACATCCAGATGTGCAAAAATACATGTCGGTCGGGAAGTCTCCCGAGCCATTCAGGAGCCGAGTCCGCCTCTCAACTCCTCGGGCTGTATTACGCCTTGGGCTTCTTCAGCTCCTCGGCAATCAATTTTGCCACATCCATGACAGACGTCAACTTGGCAGCATTCTCCTCTCCCAGGCTAATTCCGTACTCGTCCTCCAAACTCATCATGATATCCACCTGTACCAAAAAAAGACAAGGAGGTAAAAGGCAAAGATCTGAGAATGAATATAAGTGTAGAATATCTGTTCTGATCAGTTCAATATCTGATCCGTGGTCCATCAGACCATTTCATAAAAAAAAAAAAAAAAAAAAAAAAAAAAAAAAGAGAGATCTGAGAATGATGGTAGATTGTCCTTAGGGACATCCATCACGCTCAACAAAACATTTAATAAAATAATAATAATAATAATAGTAAAATAATTATTAATAATAATGAAGGATAGGTATAATTTTCAAAATACCCCCATAAGTCGAAATACATGCCAAAATACCCCTGAAAGACGTGGGTAGAGCAGAACGCCCCTCTGACAGGAAAAAAAATTGTGAAATACCCCTTGTGTTGGTTGGACCCCTACCGGGTACCATCCAAGTTCACAAAATAGGCCTTGGTTGCAAAAGGCCAAGGCCCAAACGGTGAGGTCCAGATTGCAAAGTTGCACCCCCGCCTGACAGGGCCACAACACAAAGATTTCATCCCAAGAGGGCATTCCGCTCCACCCACATTCTTCAGACACAACACTACGATTTCGGACCAAAACGGCATTCTGCTCTTTCAGGGGCATTTTGGCACATATCTCAACTCATCAGGGGTATTTTGCAAATTATCCCAGAGCCATAAACTCACAGTACATTAGGCAACATCTACCTGTAGAATAACAATCCTTAACACAATCCCTCACCAATCTGGCAATACGACTCTCTTCTGTTTTTTTTTCCTTCTTTTCTTCAACTGGTATTTGAACTCAGGCCTGCTTATAAAAGTTCATGGTGGACCACTCAACCAAAACAGCTATTAAAAGTCGTAACGGTTATATGATTATATCATATTTGGGTCACTTTTAGTCTAGATACACAAAATCACCGAGTGGAGGAACAGAAAACAGTGTACCTATATGTATCTGAGATAACCTGACTGCAATTACGTTCAGAGCAGAATGCATCTGACTCCTACAATGCACAATCACGTCCAGAGCTGAGCGAGCATGCCCCAAATGAGAGCGTATGTATTCCATTTTACTCGGGATAATTTAGCAAATCAATTAATAAAAGACTCAAGAATCAGCAACTAGCTTAAAACAAAAACTGAAAGGAAAAATAAGGGTACAAGCTGGACAAGACTGATACCTGATCAAGAGAATCAATTTCCAGCTCGTCAAAGCCACTTTCTGGCTTAACCTGGTCCCTCTCAACTCCAGACTTCTCAGCAATAACATCCATCACCTTTCCAAGCACAGCCGAGTCGACCTCAGCCGTAGCAGCTCCAGATGCATCCTGAAAAAGGACACCAAGAGGGAGTTGTAAGGAAGAAGATATAAAAAAACGAATTCTTCTTTTCTTGTTTTGTAAGGAAGAAGATATAAAAAAACGAATTCTTCTTTTCTTGTTTTCTTTTGTTTTTTTTTGCCTTTGCGCTCTGATATTCATGTGACGATATATATGAATACACAGCCGACTCGAGAGACTGAGGAGTCGTTTTTTTTGTCCGGCTCTGGCCGAGGTGGTGTGTTTTTCTAAGGACGCTTTCTATGTACTGCCCCTTCTCTGGGTAGTTGGTTGTGGCAATATGTGACTACATGTCTAAATGTTTGTATATATCTATGGTGTTATCTTGTTTGCGTGTTCACCAAAAACAGATCCTAGATGACAAGTCCCACATGCAAGCACCGCCACTCCTTCACAGGCCAAACGACAGGACAAGACCACCCAGGACGAAACTCTTGTCCGCAAAAAAAAAAAAATTCCCAGATTACATATCTATATACAGCAGATGGCCTTATTTGTCATCAAGACGTTGGTATTCCCATTTGTAAACCGTTCGTACTGGGACAAAAAACATAAAAGACAATCCCAGATGACGATTCCCACGGTGGTGAACCTGCCCTAGCCAGGGGGTTGAGCGGAATGAAGGGTGCAGCGCTACCGGGAGCGCTGCGCCCCGCTCGAGGGCGCACCCGGTCCTAAACGGTGTGTTAACACTGGGGAAGAATGGTACGTGGCGGCGGTGGCAATGGAGCAGTGAAGTGTCGCGCTGGGATTCGCGAGAAGCAAGGACAGATCGGCGCGGGCTTTGGAGGGGGTTTTCGGCAGCCATGAGGAGGCTCGGCATGGCGGGGTAGAGAGATACGGGAAAGGTTGTGTCCCTTCCTGTTGGGCAGACAACGTAGCTGAGAGCTTCGAATGAGCAAATTTTTTGGAGTGTCTTCTTCAGGGGTCTTCCTCCGCAGGATGTGACTGGTTGTCTCGAGTTGCTGGGGCCTTTGGTTCGACAGCCTGAGTATCCCACTCGATTACTAATTGAGAGTCCTCTTTGGTGTTTTCCAGTGAAACTGGGTATGGGATATATGGCGCGATGGAGATAGATCACGGTGAGCAAGAGCACAAAGATATTGAAGCATCTTTTGATCAGCACGGAATAGCTGATCTTGTGTGTGGATGGGAGGAGGTGGGGGCCGTGAATTAGGGGATGGTGTGACCACAGCCTTGGGGGAGGAAGCAACATGGCTTAGGGGTTGTGTTATCTTTCTTACATTTTCCCTCTTACCTTCCCTTATTTCCCCCTCTCGATTTGTGTCTTTTCCTCCTTATCGGTTTTCTCTGTTTTTGCCCGCCTCATGTCCTCTTGTCTTACTAGGATCGGAACTCCTGCGAGGTGTTGTTGGCAGGCTCAACGATGACTGTCGTGACGAGCACTGACAGGGGCTTGGCCTGGTGGCCTTCTGCTTCCGACGGGAGGGGGCTGGTCTCTCCCCTAAGAAGGCATAGGGGGAAAGTCTCGTGGTGGGATTGGAGGAAGAACTGAGATGCAGCCTTCTCCTTGATCAGTTTATTCATATGGTTTTTTAGTCGTCCCACGCGATTTACAGCGACTAGATCTTCGACCCTAATTGTGGTGATTGATACTATGCTGGATATTCACACGTCTTTTGAATCAATATTTTGTAGTAGCCCTTCTAATCTGTCTTCACTAGTGTGTTGATCTTTCACTTCTCAAGTCCATAGAAAGTTCTTTGGTTGGTCTGCTATTTCTGTACAACCTTCCTCTTAATTTTCATACTCAGAGTGCTGAAATTCGAATCTTAAATTTCTAAAAACATCCTTCTTTACGTCATAATTTTGGCTCTGAATCTTGAACTCATAATGTGTATTTAAGTCTATTGTCTTTCTAGCAAAATCTTCACTAGCTTGGTGCTGGTTGCAGTGGGCTGTTTTGGCGGTGATGGTCAGAGATAACGCGCTCTGCGGCGAAGGGGCTAGCCTGTAGGGCGAGAATACGGTACAGCAGCGGTGGAGATGGTGGCTCGACCACGGCAAGTCTTGCCGGAGTAGGGGTGAGAATGATTTTGCTGGCCGATTGCAACCAGTGCCTGGAGGAGCTGGATGACGGGAACCACAACTAGGGTTAGGATTGGTGGCTTGTCTGTTAACTGCTGACGTCCTTTGGTCCCAGTGGTCTGCGAACAGACGAGGCCAGAACGACACTGGTTGGTGCTGGGGCTTGGTCACGCTGCCCTGTAACTCAATTGTACGGGGGCATGAGACCTGGTAGAGAGATCTGGGGAGTCATCGAGGGTGGAAGGCACTCTAGTGTCTGTTGGTGGGCTGGTACTTAGTCAACGCTGGCCGGGGCGGGTCGCTCTGCCCTGTAGCCTAGCAGGTGGGGGGTTTCTGGGGTGGGTCGCACCACCCTGCAACCTAGCAGTTGGGGGTATGAGGCCTGGTAGAGATGGAGTATTAGGTATAGGGCAGAGGCGGATAAGGTTGGGCTACTGACAGTCACTAGGGTAGGAGGTTTTTGGTCTGATAGCCTGGAATAATCTCAGTTGGCTTTTGGTTTCTTCACAAGTAAGCTGGCCGTTTTGGTTGCCCTTGGTGGTCTTAAGAATGTTTTAGGACTCTGGGGACTCCTAGCAACTTGTCTTAGGTGGTTTCAGATGCTGTTATAGTCAGTGATCTGAGGTTGTTCAATGCCAGTCCAGCGTGCTGGGGTGTTGCCCTGTAACCTGCTGATGCAGGAGAGTGAGGCCTGGTAGAGATCTGGGGATGCTTTGGGGTGGGCATCCCACCTGACAACCAAGGATTGCTGCTGGGACGACGCTGGTCAGGGCTGGGGTGAGTCGTGTTGCCCTGTAACCCAACAGGATGTGGGGATGTGAGGCCTGGAAGCGCTCGGCAGGGATTAAGACAGTGTTGGAGAGCCTTGGAAGGTCTTGTTAGCAATTTCGAGGGTTTTTTAGCATTTGTAGGACCGCTACGGTCTATTCCTATGTTTCCAGAATTATCGAAAGTGTTCTCAGACATTTTCTCAGCCGAAGCTGGGCCCGGTATCTCAAAAAAAAGAGCTCGAGGTGAGAGGGAGAAGGAGATGGTGGGAGATCACGCGTCCTGCTAGTGAGGGGGCTAGTAGGTAGGATGGGAATAGGGTACATCAGAGGCGGAGATGGTGGCTCTGCTGCAGTAAGTCTTGCCGGAGTGAGGTAAACAGGATTGATGGGGGCTTTCTGCGTCATTTTCTGAATTTTGCCTACTTCTGTAGTTTGTCGCAGCAATTTTCTCAGTAGCTCCAATTTTTCTTAGCCATAGCCGGGTAATGGCCCCGGTATCTTAAAAAATTCAAAACTTTCAAAATCCTATGTAAATTTCCATATGGGACGCTGGGCCCGGTTCCCACCACGCGCTGCTCCCCACGAATAGATTGGAGCCTTTTTCCCAAAAAAAAAGAATAAAAAAAGACAGATATAATTCCCACATAAAACACCGCACAGCTCGAACAACGGGAAAAAAACAACTAAGATGCCAAAAAGATAAAAAAGAGCCCAGATGACTGGTCCCACATGAAAGCACCGCTACCCTCGCGGAAATAGACCGAACAACGGGACAAAACCAACCGGGATGCGGCAGACAAGGTTACCAAAACAACTAAGTTCTACCATATCCATAGTTACAAAAAAAAACGGAACCATACAGTAGGTCCGCAAAATGAAATACCCCATAAATGGGGAAGATAAACCAAAGAAAGTAGAAATGATAACAAGAAAATTAGGAAAATATTTTCTACCATAACCAAAGAAAGAGCCTGCTAGTACAGGTCATTTGTTAGTTTGCAAGACTACACAGTTCTGGCTCGTGATTCACAAATTTCACGTGGGTTATGTGGATGGATAAACAGCAGCATCCACATAAGCCAGGATGTTTATACAAGTGCACACCCACATGAGCCCATGTGGATGTGTATACTAGTGCACACCCGAGCCCATGTGTTTAAACAAAAACAGCCCAATCAACAATAAATCCAAACGGTCCAAAACAACAGAGATCAAGGCTAAACTGCATCCTTAAACAAAAACAGCCCAATCAACAATAAATCCAAACGGTCCAAAACAACAGAAATACAAGGCTAAACTGCATCCTTTCCTCCCAAGCGCCCCC